CCTTGCGATTATCCTTGACTAGTTGATGGATTTACCAAAATCCTTTCGGTTCATATCGCTGGATTGTTAAATAAATGCTCACGATGACCAAAGTACTATGATATTCATCATTCATTCAGCATCAGCATGGTTTCCATAAAGTGCACAGTACAACAACAGCACTTAACGCCATAAATACTCACATAACTCGTGGCCTTAACCGTAAACGTCCCTGTGAGAGAACGATTCTAGCAGCGTTGGACCTGTCAAAGGCTCTTGACACTGTCAGCCACTTCACGCTACTGGAAGATATAGAGGCTTCCTCTCTCCCACAGAGGCTCAAACGGTGGTCAGCAAATTATCTGAGTGGTCGACACTCGTCGGTAAAGTTTAGAGACAAATCGAGCAAACCTGGAAAAATAAAACAGGGGGTTCCATTGGGTCGTGTCCTTTCCCCGCTGCTGTTTAACTTTTACATTTCAATGCTCCCTCAACCACCAGAGGGAGTCTCGATTGTCTCTTACGCCGACGATTGCTCGATCATGGCGACTGGGAATGGAATTGATGACCTGTGTTCGAAAGTAAACGGGTACCTCTCCGAACTTTCTCGCTTCTTCAATGCAAAGTGTCTAGCCCTCTCCCCTACGAAATCCTCCGCGACCCTGTTCACAACCTGGACGAAGGAGGTCAGGAATTCGCGTCGATGACACACCAATTCCGACGGTGAATAACCCCAAAATACTCGGAGTAACATTCGACAGCCTGCTCTCCTTCTCTGCGCACGCAACCGCAATCAATAAAGTACAGAGAGTATCAATAAAGTACAGAGCCGCAACAAGGTCTTCAAGTCGCTAGCCGGCAGTACTTGGGACAAAGACAAAGAAACGTTGCTGGCAACATACAAGGCAATAGGCCGGCCGGTTTTGAACTACGCAGCGCCAGTGTGGTCGCCGCGGACTAGTAGGACGCAGTGGACGAAGCTACAGACTGTACAGAACACCGCACAGCCACAGAAGTGGCCACCCAAACAGACAGGTGCTTGCAGAGGAACCCTCGCCTAGGCACGTCAGGAGGCATCTATATGAACTGACGGACGAAGTCCAGAGGTTCATCAAGCAAGCTCTGGACCCGTCAGCTTACCGACTGGCCCTGAACGGCATTCACAGGGAGTCAGTCTCGAGTTATGTAGACTCTAGACCTGACACAGACGAGACGGAGCTTCATCTGCCTCGGGAGACACGAACGACACTAGCACAACTTCGCTCCGGCTACTGCAGCAGGTTAAACTCCTACCTGAGTAGATTGAATGAGGATGTGCCAAACGAGTGTCCGGCATTCGGAGAGACCCCACATGACTCGAAACATCTCTTCGCATGCCCGGAAAACCCGACAACCCTAACGGCCTTGTCCCTGTGGACCAGCCCTACAGAAGCTGCACGCTTCCTAGGGCTGCCGTTAGTGGAACTTGACGACAACGACTGAGATACCAACCGTTCTGGGCGGGGCAATGGCAGAATATATGTTTGCGTATTCATTCATTTGTCAGTGCTACTAAAGTTCTGCCTATTATCAGTGAAGCAAATTTTTATCGGGATACGGATCATTTCCCGCGAAAACACAGCAAAATGTGCATTGGATTCGCCTTGGCTACAGTGTTGCCGTGCAGTGTGTCGGTGTAGTACACAATCATCGGTGTCAGCGCAGTAGCGACTCTGTATTGCCCAGCAATAAAACGAACACAAGTTGAAAATTCTCCAATCGTCGTAAGTAGCATAAAAACCGTGTACAAAAAAATATAGCTTTATGTTTATTTAACATTCTTGTTTAGAACTCTCGATTGCAAAGGCGCCTAAGAAGGTGTCCTGACCATTACTCTAGTTGAATAGCCGG